GTTTCAACTACAGATAAAAACGTATTACTGGTCATTTTACTATAAATATGTATTTTTGGTCCTTTTTATTTATAAAATAGAATTGGTACTATTTTTACTATAAAAATGTATTTTTATACTTTCACAGATTTTTTTTGAATCCCTATTTGCCCAAAATTGGGTCCCTAACAGGTAGTACAACCCAGGCCCAAGATGGACCTGGGAACAACAGCAAGTAAAAATCTCAATCTTCTGATCAGAGGCCTTGCTGAAGGACCTCGCTTATAGTCATACCCAGAACTTCTACTGTTATTAAATAAAGATGATTTTTAATTATTTTGTAAAAGGATCTCTCGAAATATTGTTTGTTACTTAACTAGATTTACTTTGTCACCGAAATGCTAGTCGCAATATATATACGCTCCCGAAAAATTTATTTCGGTTGAGCTCTCTAGGGAGGAAGTGTGGGTTTGTAAACAGTGACTATTACGGCTAATAATGCATGACTCTTAGGCAAATCGAATCGAGTTCTCACAGTCACTGTGTGTTTATCTAAAAATAATTACGCTTAAATTCACCTTCATCCCTGCCGTGCGGAAACGGTAGAATTCCTGACTGACGCCAATTCAGTCTGGTTTCGATCCTAACTAGAGGCAACCGGACGTCTAGACACACTGATGAGTTGCGATACAGCGAAACAGTCTGTTTGTGGATTACAATATATATATATATATATATATATATATATATATATATATATATATATATATATATATGTATGTGTGTGTGTATGTATGTATGTATTCGAGGATACCCGTCTACTAGAGCGGCTAGCCAATCCCTACTGCAGAAGCTTGCTCAGGCGCATTAGTATTTATTCAACACCCGCAGAGCCCACCTGTGGTTTATATTGCAATTATGCTGAGCAGACTTTAGTTACAGTAACCGTAATACACACACAGTCTCTCTCTCACACACACACAACACATATATATATATATATATATATATATATATATATACGCACGCACACACACATATATATATATATGTATATATATATATGTGTGTGTGTGTGTGTGTGTGTGTTATGAAATGGACTAAGTCCGATAATTATTTTAATATATTTTCTCTTTATACGTTTTTTTTTATACATAAAATTATTTAAGAAAATGCTCTGTATATAATAAACGGTATTAATTACATTTATCGGCCAGAATGTCCGAGAAATGTCGTAGAAAAATATGTGTCCTCCAACAGGAATCAAACCTGTATCCCACACGGAACAGTCATTTAGCTACAGAGGAAGCGTCTGGTTAGCAAAAATACAGCAATTTGTCTTTACTTGCTGTTGATCGTTTTCTCCGCGTGACCAATGCAGAAAAATAGATATCCATCGTAATACACACGCATACATCTTTAATGATAGTGCATAATTATTTCTAAGTGTGTATCTTTTTTTTTGGTCATGAATTTATGACATTGGCTAAATAGAATTATAGTTTAGATTAAGCAATGACATTTAAATGCTCACTTCACACGCAAGACGAACGCAGGTTCCTCTTCATCGTCTCTTCTAAAACGGGTCAAAAAAGCACAGACATATCGCTTTGCTAACACGTGTATTCTGTTTCTTTCCAACAGTTTGTGTCACTTTCATTGCCTCCTTTTGTTTTTAATTTTCCCCAAAACACAATAAATTATTATTCTGATTGATCGTCGTTCAAGTCTGAATCAAGTAAAGATCAATCTCTAACGACACGGTAATATGAAACTGTGACGCCAAAACAAAGGGTTATTATTTAGCGATTAGATGAGTGCACTGTGGATTAACGTTTCACCGAAGTGACAAATGATATATAATGAACGTTAAAAGTAGACCACAAGTTGTTTGTCTCTAATACAACATCTGATTTAAGAAGAACACTTAATTTGTTGGGGAATCACGGTAGATATTTAATTAAGCCGAAGCAATTTTATAAAGTCGAATGTGTCTGCTCTTTTATTAACATTAATGGGCGGAACTAAAGCTGCGTCTGAATAAATAATTCCCTGAAGAATGATTCCTTCTTCAGTTATTTGTCTTATCCTTCGAAAAAAATAAAGACAGATAATCGGAGATTTAGTACGGAACACTTTATTAAAGTTATAAAGTCAGCTATTCCTTTTTTTTTTTTTTTTTTTTTTTAAGCATTTCACCCCAAGTAAGGCGGGAAGCCACTAGGACGCAAGGGGTTACAGAAAATTTGGAGCAATAATCAGAGTGATAGAAGAAAGGATGAGGAGAAGACTAGTGGATAGATCAAGGCAACTGGAGATGTCGATTGACATTACACTTGAATAGCTGGAGATTATAGCTCTCAGGGAAACTGGAATAGGGAAGGGAGTTCCACAGGCGAGAGGTGCGAGACATGAAGCTATTGGAGTAGAAGAGACGGCTACATTTAGGAGTTTCGACAGTGAAGGGGTGAGAGCGGGATGCCAGCCTCGTAGGTCGCTTGAACTCATGAAGTCTGGGAACCAGCGAATGCAGCTCTTCGGAGAAATTTCCATGAAAGTATTTGTAGAACAGACAGAGAGGCGACGGCGCGTCTGTGAGAAAATGACTGTAGACGAGATGCCAGAGCAGGGCCAATTATATTCCATATCCGCCTCTGGAGCCTATCAAGAACCCCGAGGCAAACAGAAGGGGCTCCAGACCATATACGGCAGCAATACTCCATGCAAGGGCGAATTGTTGATTTGTAGATCTGGAGGATCGATTCCGGGGAGAAAAATTTCCTGGCGCGGCACAGGGAGCCAACTTTCCTTGCGGTGGACGAAGCAATTGACTCAATGTATTTGTTCCATCTCAGGTCAGCCGTCAACGTGAGACCGAGCAGCCGCAGAGAGTTGCTCTCGAGAAGTTGAGCGTCAGACATTCTAATGGAGGGCAGGGAAGGATCTCTGTGGTGATTAATAGAGAGCAGTTTTGTTTTTGAAGCGTTAAAGTTGACCAACCAATTCCTGCCCCAGTTCACAACCGATATAGAAATAAAATGAAAAACTTTTACTAAATGTTCATGAAAACGTAATAATGCTTTATGAAATTAGAAAAAAAAAGTTGTTTACCATTCGGCGGTTATTATATGTTTTAAAATAATAATTAAAAAAAAATGGTTTTACTGGAGGCACAAAATGTGTTTTGCACGTTTGATACGTAAAATCACTTTCCGGGAGTTATTTTCTCAGAATTGTCTCAAGTGTTTAGAGCGAAAGAGAGAAATAGCTCATAATCTACCTGAGGAGTTTATGGTTGGCAGAACAGAGATTAGGTAATATAGACAAAAGACAATATCTACTAAGAGCTACAAAGGACAGAAGATTGTAAAGATCCAAGGAACACGGCGCAAAGAAGAACTTAAACCGAAAACAGCATGAAAAAAAAAAAAAGCAACATCGAAAAAATAATTAAGAGCCACGAGTTATTTCCCTTAATAGAGACAGCGTAACAATCTGATTCCAAGTATTTAATAAACTTTCGTAACTCCCAGGTTTCCTGAAATATAATGGAGGTGATTGGGCACCTCGGGATGGTGTAATGGTTAGCAATCTTGTCTCGTTAGAACAATTACGACTGAGTAGGGAGTCCAATCCTCACTGGGTACCCCTTACTTTCGGCCTTGAGCCACATCCAAGTTACGCTTGGAAAACCACTATAATGGAGGTGATATTCCAAGCGCAGCTTAGATGTGGTACAATGCCGAAAGTATGGGTCAACCAGTGACAATTGAACTCATTCCTCAGTCGTAATTGTTCTAGCGAAACAACCTTGCTATTACACACGTCAGGGTACCCCTGGATCCGCTGCAGACATGAATATACGGCTTATTAGTACAGATTATTAGCACTTTGCAGGTTATTTAAAGCCAGAAGATATTTTTTAACGATAATAATCATTTAATGATACAAGTTTTACTTTCAATAGCTGGGGGTGCGGAGAAGAGGTAGATTTATACCTTTACCCAAGAGTATTTGCGCGTAAGTGATTATGACAAAACTAACTGAAATTAGAAATCGGCTCCAAGCTAATATCCATTGTACTACACGCACATTCAAACTTACAACATCTCGCGTTCCCAAGCGGTCACCTCTCTAGGTATTAACCAGGCTCAACCTTGCTTAACTTCAGTGATCGTACGAAACCGGTGTTTCGACGCTATACGGCCGTAAGGTAGACATGAATGTGGAAGGAGGCTACAAAGTGCTGTGGCTAAGACAACTAATTTGAGGAAATTATTCCCAAGGGATCAGTAACCGCTATACATGCAATTTCTATATTTTAAACGTGACGCTTGTTAACTATAAGTAATTGAACTACAATTTACGACAATATTCAACAATTACTGAGCTAGAGTCTTTAATCACATCTTGCCATCCTGAAGAGAATTATCAAATGTGTTTCTCTCTACTTATTGATCACTTTGAATGTTGTACGCATCTTCGTGAAATAGTACCAAAGAATATGCGAATATACAGAAACTATATTAATCAATATTGGAAGTTTTGTTTTATCCAATACGTTACACCTGTCTCTAATATTCGCCTGTGATCGAGAGACTGTGTGTATAGGTGGAGGTGTTGCATAAAGATCAATACCGAGAAAGCAAATTCTAATCTTAAAAAAAATGTCTAATCTTCCTGCGTATTCATTTTGTAACTACAAAAAAATACCTTAGCATTAATTTCTCTAAAAATGATGATGCGCTATATCTAGATCAATATATACAGTGTGCATCAGATATTTGAGAACGCATAATATGCAGGAAAACGACCTAGAGTGATTCTAAGCTACGTATGTCATATTTTAACATCATTAATTTATCTTCCAGATGTACTGAGGGCATTAACACGGCAAATCTTCAATCTGACACAGGATACAAAAATAAAACCGTGCAGTGATCATATCAGACCCATAGAGAGACAATTTCTTAAAAGTAGACAGTTAAACTGGACGGACGTCATCACAGTCATCGCCAGTCCTGACCAGATGTGGTCGTAGGGTTGATGCGCGGCTGAGCTGCTGAGCACCTGACCAGTTCCCCCTCCTCATATGTGGTTGAAGACCGGAGAGGTAGTCATTCAAGCTTAGCACGCCTTGGGCAAGTAGGCCTGGCGAAGCGCATCGCTGCAGCTCCAATTTGAAGTCACACCTTGGCAAACGGTCACGTGGCCTTTTATTCCATCGAGGGAACCCTCTAACACTCTAGAAAGCTCCCCACCCAGTGATACGGTGTCCCCATCTCACTAGTTTCATATATGGCTATGGAATCCAGTCTACCCCAATTAATCTAGATGACCATTGACTTGACAAAAAAGTTCATGCAACGTTTGATGGGCTTGTTTTAAATTCTGCTGCGTGTCTAGCACTCTCCCCCATAGCACCAAAATAGCCTGGTGGGGTAACGCGTTTAAAGAGTGTGCGATAGAGTGTGCGGCAGGTAGTAATGAGTTAAATGTTATCAGTGGCACTGACATAAATACGGTCATATGGACGAAACTCACGTCGATTGTGATGGTCTTGAGGAACGTGAGCAACGAGGATATGGTCATGTTACTTTACTCCTTCCAGAAGGGTTTTAGAATAAGCCATAACACCTAAATCTTGATACGGTAGCGACAAAATGATTGAGGAGTTACCGTGCGTGTTCCCGCAAATCTATGTCCCTTCGTACATAGACTACGCGACCCAGGAGGGGCTGGACGAGAATTTTTATGATAATGCCTTTATCAATACGTCGATTAACGCTTCTGATCTGGAACACCTTGCCTGGGGCGAAAAAGAGAAGAAAAACAATTAGCTGATTAAGTAAATGAATGATTGATCTTACGGCTTGATTCTACGATTTTTCAGGTTGCTTAAAACCAGAATTGTTTTTGAGATTGTGAGAATTTATTTTTGTGAAATAATAATGGTTTAATGATATAAGTTCCACTAATTAACCCATAGATGGGGGTAGGAGATGGATTTATACCTTTCTCAAGAGTATTTGCGCGTAAGTGGATATACCGAACCCAACAGGAATTGGAACTCAACTCTCCTATTAACAATATCGTGACATTATCAGTTACACCACCAGCTAATACAAGCACCTGGTATTTCCAAGCGGTTACTTATCAAGGTACTGACCAGGCACGACGTTGCTTAAATATGGCGATCCTACTGGAACGTGATGTGGCCGTAAGCCGAAAACAACTAGCGACACCTCAGTGCAAAGAACTCTTTGAAAACCAACATAGCCAACATGAAATAGAGATGTATTGGATCGAGAAAGTTTCAGTATTCCATTGTTTTTTGATAATATATATATACAGCAGATATGTATCTATTCCTTTTTTTAAGTATATAAGTGTGCTCTTTTTTTAAATATTTTAAATCCAATGTTTAATACACATGGAAATAATGGGGGAACTAAACCTGTCATTTTTATGTGCATACATCTATACAAACTAAATCTGTCAGAGAAACATTTATCACCGTTACTACTAATTTGACGCGAAGAAGCGATCCTCAGACGGTTCGCTGAAATATCTGGGGATCGATTTATCGTTGAATTATCTTTGTTAACGGCGGGACTTCGTTTTTTTTTTGTTGTTTTTTTAAAAATATTTTTGATAGTGTTCCTGTTCGTTTCGAGATTTAAAAAATTCTAAATGTTTTAACAGAATATGGCAATTCGAACAAGTGTTCGAATATCAAATGATGCATTGCAAAAGCTAAACAAAGTACAAAGAAACAAGGAAAGGCTGTTATAAACAAAGAAAAGAATGCTGAACTTCTATGTAATATCAATCATCCTGTATGGCTGTGAATCCAGGATAATTTCCTCGCAGATGAAAAGACATGCTAGGGCCACTTGACGTGTGCTGATATCTGTATCATCTTCGACAGCCTGTAGAATGTTTTCTTCGTGGCCAGGCGTAAGAGTGGATCTCGATCTTCCTCGATCTATAGCTTGTGGTGCCACAGATCCTGTCTAACAACGCGACGATAAACAACAGCAAAGTTTGAATGATACGGCTGGCTTCGGTCTGGAAACGCAATCGGATGCAGGCATACAACCTCGCGTCCATCCGCGCAGCCGTATGTAAAAATCATATCTGCCTGCTCACGATATTATAATCCTGCTCTTGTTAAATGGAACATTTCTCAGTTAACTTACTACTACACACGTTAAACGTTGAAGACAGACTAGCCACAAATGTACACGAATGACAAATGTGACATAGTCTACAGGGCAATGCAGCGACATCAACCATAAACTTTCTTTAAAGATAATAACTCAAAAATGAAGGATTTGTGGATGTATGTGAGAAAACAGAAATGTGGTTATACAGAAGGATACTGAGAATATCTTGGGCAAAGCGCGTAAAAAAGGAAGAAGTCTTAGAGAAAATGCAAAAATAAAAGGTCATATAATAAGAATCAGAAAGATAGATTTGAAATTCCTTAGATACCTAATAAGGAAGAAAGGTTTTAGGGAATTTGAAACTGATAGACCATCTATCTGACCATCTTGTGCGAATGGATTACGGAACAGATGGCGGGAGGTAATGCAAAAAGACAAATGTTACTAAGAGATATAAAAGATAGGAAATTGCGAAGAGCCATGATCGCTCTCGTCCGGAAGGGAGCAGTATATATAAGAAAATTCTAGACGAAATTTCATTATCTTGCTAAGTTAAGGTAGGTTTCTTCATTTTTAATTTTTTAATGTTTTTTTTTTTTTTTTTTTTTTTGACGAATTAAATCCGGCTTGTTTTTATTTCATTTGTTTTTGACAGCGCAAATTATTTAACATGCAGGGAATCTGGAAGAAAAATTACTAGCGTAGCGAGTGCAATATTCACTGCTTTCCCCACTACTAATGAACGACACTCGCGTGCAAAACTTTTGAACCACATTGGTGAATTAATTAATTAGCGTTAATTTTACATTCAAATCGAGATGGATGATCAATATGCTTTTCTAAGCACATTTTATGATCTTTGACAACCGCAAAACAAGCTACTGCATTGTCCTTGGCGCTCTTTTGTGGATAGTAGAGCATCTTAAGCACAGTGATGTTATATAAAGACAATGCAAAAATACGGGGCCACCAGCGAAAATGTCACCATTCAGCTCTTTTTTTTAATATAAAAACGAATCTTCTTTTTCCAAAAAGGGATTTTTATTACCACAGAAAGTAATAAATTCCAAAGTATGAAGTTAGTAATAATTTGGAACAACTTCAGCTTTTCTCATTTGAAGTTGTTTTTTTCCTCTCCGTCTGCAGTCCCAACGCTCTTGCGTGTTTTTGTTGGAACACTTGTTTCTTCATTTCCAACCACACTGTTTGAATTATACTGAGATTAGGACTTTGTGCTAGCCAGTCTTTCAGAAGTTATACATCTTTATTCATAAAGAAACATTTTTGTTGCTCGTGCAGTATGTTAGTCCTGGGTATGACGATAAACCACATCCAGCAGCAAGGCCTCTGATCGAGAGATTGGAGGTTTTGATGAGCGTTGAACTGCATCTTAATTGCTGTTGTTGGCAGGTCCAACTTATTCCGGGATGGTAGCACCTATTAGGGTCCCAGCTATGGGCAAATAGTGAATTTCATAAACAAAACACTAAGATAGTATAAAAATATATTTTTATAGTGAGAATTTCAATAATATATTTTATATAAGAATTACCATCAGTACATATTAATAATAAAATGGCCCCCAATAAATTTTATCTGCAGTTGAATATATACAATTATGTTAAAAATATAGTTAGTTGAAGTCATAAAATTATGTTCAAAATATTTCGATTTCGGTATTAAATAACCAATAGATGTTGATATGTCGCTAAACAAAATCAACCAACCAAACACCTATCATGAAAAGAACACTTTCAGGGCATTAATATATATATATATATATATATATATATATATATATATATATATATATATATATATATATATATATATAATAGCCTGCAATTTCTTAAATCAACATATATTCCAAAATATAACTTCAAAAAAACTACAAAATAAAACACACATATCATCACCTCCAGTAATTATGTCCACAAAAACATGTATAGGCACAAAACGTATCATTTACCATATATTTAATTGTGAAATCAAAATAACATTTTTTTTTACTTCAAAGCTCCCAAGAAAATTAAATTTCGGTATGGAATGACCCATGACGGGTTGACATGCCATTAAACAAATAAATCAAATAGTAATGTGTGACAAAGAGCAGTGTCATGCTGAAATATTTTCCATCTTTGTAGACAGGCGGATGATTAGACAATAGTAAACTAATATAGCTTTCGGTATTTAGGATTCCATTATCTTTTACCAATTTAGTTTTACCATTGATTTTCGTGCAAACCTACACTAGTATGTGTCCATTACCAAATGTTACCGACTTTGTGTTCTGTCTTATATTGTTTCTTTTGGCTATGTATTCTCTTACATATGTTATATTAGAATGTAACTCTATTTTTTTTATTCATCACTAACAATTATTTTTCCCTAGTTCCAGCAGCGTCAGATGTTATTTAAGCCCTTCAATCTGCAGTGTTCTCGGTCATGATCTTAGTTTCAGTCACATTCCTACCACTCTAACATGTCTTCCTTGCGCGTTTTCTTTAAATATTTGTGTGGCAATTGTTCTGACGAGCATTCCTCTATGGTAGCTCGACTTTACGAATTTAAATTGGCAGCGTGTTATCGTCATTTTATAGTTGGAATTGCTTGTTGTGACCGTGTGTTCCATGCTACCAGTTTCGTCTCTCGTATCTCTCACTTTTGTAACTCTCTTCCGGCTTCTTGCTTTTAAGTCAATTTGATCTTCAAAACTTTAATGCAGTTCCAATCGTTATCTACACATCCATCTATCTACATATCCCTTTCTATTTGCGATAAAGATTCATTGTAAATCTATCCCCGTCACGATCGTATTTACAGAATTACTCCCCTTAGTCTGTAACAAATTCACGATGATAAGATTTTAAAAAAATAATTACAAAATGTTACTTGCAGTTCAAGGAAAAGTTCAACAGATCGTAAATCCCCAATCCCTCTCAGCATCCTACTCTCTTTTTGTCTTGCTATCCTCCTCTCTCTCTCCCTTTCTGTTTTTTTCTCTCTATGTCCCTCTCACTTTCTGTTTACTTCTCGAACAAGCTAGAAAAACGTATTAATATATAGATTATGTTAAAAAATTCTAATCAGCCGTGTCAAAGTCATCTCTTCTTCTAAAATAGTCTTTTACAAAGAATTATATAATATTAAACGCTTCACAATAAAAGATAATCGGTAATCCTTTTGTCGATGAAATTAATCTTACAGAAAAATTAATTGTTGCAGCGCAGATAAAGCCTAATCTCATCCACAACAAAATTAATATCAATCTGTAGCATTGATATCAAATGCACTTCAAATACATGAAATTCGAGGATGCAATTAAAATTATAGTCCACAGATATACGCAACCTATAGCCAGCTTATGATTCATTATCTACTATAAAAAGATCAAAACATCCATGTTGAAACTTGACTAATGCATGGAATAATAATGCAACACAAAATGTACTTAGAACAAAATGTATTGAAACAAGAAAGTGTACACAATATTTACATATAGTCTTTTGTATATTCCTGGTAAGACCGTTCCTGGAGAATGTGTTGACTGAGTCGCAGTCGGGCAGAGTCTCCGGTTGAATCTCTTGATTCCTTCCTCTCTTCCCGGTACCAACCATATTTATATGGTCGGTACTCCACTATGCAAATTAGGTGGATCCTACCACAACAATATCTACAAAAAATAAACATTTATTAGTTAAGTACATATTCGCCATTGTTTGAAAAACTGTCTTCTCTCGTTTTACAATTTTGTTGACGCCATTTTGTATTGTTTTTTTTTATGGAAGAAGGTTATGAAGTACATTTTCACTAGCTCTTCCCGGTACCAACCATATTTATATGGTCGGTACTCCTCTATGCAAATTAGGTGGATCCTACCACAGCAATCCAACTTCGCTATTACCAACAACATTTTTTAAAACACTAATATTTTTATTTTTTTTAATAATCTCACTCCAAGCAAAGCAACAAAGACACTAAGACTTGTTACTGAATATGAAAGAATATGAGAATATTAAGAAGAGAGAACAATAAAAGAAGAGGAATCAAGAAGACAGAAAATAACCATTGATATTGCATTTAAAGTTTTAAATATCAAAGTTGACTGGAAAGTAAGACACCGAATACAAAAATAGTGCCACACAAAGAGGGTTTCTAAATTCAAAAATGAAAACGGTCATATATATAATAATCAGCAAGAAAACTAAAAGAACTCCCACAGAAAATAGTAAAAGAAAACGAGAAGAAAGGACTAAAGATCAATTGCAAGAATATAGAATGCATGGTTGTTAGCAAAAGGATCAACTCAACGTGCAAATTAAAAATTAGAGATACCAAAATAAAAAAAAGTGGGTCAATCATATAAGCATATGGAATGTATTTTAACAGAGAACGGAAAGTGCGATACTGAAATCCAAAGGGACGTTGGGATAGCTAAAGATGCCTTCCAAAAGTTAAGTAAAGAACAATTTCGTTAGAAACAAAGAAAAGAATACTTAAATGTTAGTCCTCCTATCAGTCCTCCTATAATGCAGTGAATGCTGGACAATGATCTCACAGATGAAGAAACTTTAAGCAGCAGTAATGGGATTCTGCAGAAGGATGCTGACAGTACCTTGGAGCGATAATCGACCAATTTTTAGAGGAAATGGAATAAAAAAGGACACTTATCATCAAGAAGAGACAGTAAAAATTAACATCAAGAAGAGACAGTTGAAATATAGGCATATTTGTTATGAATCTTCCCCATTCTATCCGCAACATTTAAATTATTTGGTAATTGTCGATATCGGGGATCCTACTATTATATTTATCACGTGTCAGTCATTTTGTCTGTGGGAATTTCATGATATATATATATATATATATATATATATCGTTAGGTCTTATACGTTGCTTTTTGCTCATCTACTTATATGTAGAGGTCAGTGATGCATTGTGGCCAGTCTACTGTATAGTTCTAACGGTTATCTTGGTCGGCAGCAACGGTTATATTTCGAATTATTCTAGGAACTATTAAGTGGAAATAAATGTGGATCCAGATGCAATTAATGGTAATGAACAGAATATATCAGATTGTATTTCCAGACCGATGCCGAGTCATCCAACCGGTGCTGCTGTTTATCGTCACGTTGCTGAGACAGGATCCGTGGCACCACAAATTATGGATTGAGAAAGGACCAACTGCACATTTAACAGCGTCTACCGTAAGCTTTAAACTAAATGCCACAAAAACGAAGGATTTGCGGACATATGTTTATATGGAATGTTGTCTTTGTTTGTGGGAGTATTTTTGATACATCTATCTATCTATCTATCTATCTATCTATCTATCTATCTATCTATCTATGTGTGTGTGTGTGTCTGTGAGTGTGTGTTTATGCTAACTGTATTATCGATTTTTTGACTATTAGTGCAAATTCTTATTTTATTTCGCAGGAAGATTTCGTCACTATTAGTCATTGTAGTGGTAATCGTATCAAAATGCATTTAAAGACTTTGAAATTCAACCTTACTTACATTATGAAGAAACAATAAACCAACTATAGGTGTATTTAGTAACACAGCGAACTGTACGATAATCACATTCAGACTTCATATATTCGGCAATTTTGCGCATCCATTTGTCGAATTGATTAGGTTTCATCGCATTAAGAATGTAAAACCCCAACGTTGCATCCAAGCAGCACTCGCATTTCTTGCACGCTTGAAAATCGGTTTCCATTTGATGATGGAGGATAAAAGTTTCTTAATAAACAACTATTAGAAAATTCCAGACGCTGTTTGCAGTAATAATAATAATAATAATGGGAAGAAGAAGTAGAAAGAAGTAATCATCTTATTTTAAAACAGAATAAAAAGACATTCAATACAATGAATCCATTTATTCGAAAATTGAATTGGGTCACCTTTATTACGAAACCCGCTTGCGCTGCATTATATATTCACACACGCACACATGATCTCTCTCTCTCTCTCTCTCTCTCACACACACACAGACGCGAGCGCGCATACACATGTGCATGAATATGTCGATATGCTTAGAGTTTGTAACAAAATTTCTATCTATTTTTCGCGTAAAATAATCTTGTTGATGAAAGGAGAATCTTGACAAAGAACAAATTTAGGTTAAAAATAATTATATTTTGCAAAATAAATGTTTTTTGTAAAATGTCTTTTTTCATGATTCTTGGGTTATAACAGTGTACCGATATGTGTACATCCATATATATATATATATATATATATATATATATATATATATATATATATGAATAAAGTGAACATTGATGATTGCGTTTAGCATGAAACAGACGGTGTTGACTTCAATGTTCACTTTTATATTTACACACGCTCTGTCTCTGATATTGAGCACTTTATCCCGAAAATATAGCACACCTTAAGAGTATATATATATATTATATATATATATATATGGAAGTGAAATACAGTAATGTCTTTAGATACGAGTTTAGTTCATTCCAAGACCAAGCTCATAACTCAAAACACTCTCGAATCGATTTTCCCTATTGAAATCAATGGAAATATTTCCGATCCTTTCCAGCCCCCTAAATATCACTCTTATTTTCCTCATCCCTATTTTTATATTTGTGGGGTTTTTTTTTTACAAGCAAACATATGTGAATAAATAAGAAATCTGGTTAACAAACAATAAAATAAAAGAGAAAAAAAACAAATTGAAACGAAATAGACTGTACTGAACCATGCAATTGAAACGAGTCATAGGTCAAATGCCGTATGAGAGGGGAGCAACAACAGCTAGCCTAACAACCGCTAACCTAGCCTAGCAACGGTTAGTCTAGTCTACAATGCCAAAGATTAACGTCATCACTTAATTTAAAAAAAAAATTAAAACATGTACATCCATTACTATAACTAATTTTTTTAATTTTTAAATTTTATAATTTTTTATTCCTCGCCGATGAATAAAAAATTAGAACACTTGTACAGTCTCGCCAAATTTAATACTCGTACGTCTTCCTCATGTCTTTTGATAATTTCCCGCTTTACCTCGGGCCAAGTCATACGTTTCAGCTTTTCACCACTGCTCTTTACACTTACTTTCTTCGAACCCATGGTGTCACTAAAGGAATATTGCAAAATAACAACAAAGAAGGAACAACACAACAGAGATGCTTCCAGAGATGAGGTGAATATGTGTACTACGAGTGGAAATACTATCGAAGTTTGGCGTTGAACTGAAACTCGCTCGTATCTCAAATTTCATCTCGTACCTGAAGGCAAAAAATCGGCCTAATCTTAAAAGAAATCGTATGTCGGTACGCTCGTATCTCAAGGAATTACTGTACTTAGATAATTTCTGCATGACTCTAAACATCATCTACGTATGCTAATCTCATAATTTTTACTGTGAATCGTATGTTGATTTTTTTTTATTAACATTCTCTTATGTGTTTTCTTCGTAATAAGTTGTGACCATTTTATACTCAGCATTTTTAAATCAAAGTTATCATTTGTTATATTTCCTTGTGATAGAAAGAAATTTAGTGTGTAAAAGATAGAACAATCTCATATCACGAATCATATTATGAACATTGAGAGACATAAATCAGCCATTTTTGATCGTATGATGTCTTAGGCTTTTATTCTTATTTTGTTTGTGAATTTTTTTTTTTCTGTTCAAAATCGAAATCTCTCCAACCCACTAAAAATGGATAAAAATCAAGCAGCAATAAACAGGAAAACAAGTAAGGGAGTGAAAATTCAAGAAATAAAAACACATTTATTTAATTGAATTTTGGTGTAGAATAACGTCCTCTCTAAAAACTTGTACACGGATAAATGGATCGAAATGTAGGTTAGGCTGGCACAATTACTTCTGTTTTTCATCCATATATTTCAAATAGAAAAAAATGCATTTATGTGCATCCCCGAACCACCTACTCATATTTATGAATGTACAAGAGCAAAACAAAAATAAACATTAATCATATATCTATTATCTTTTAAGGAAATCAATTTAATGATTGAACGAATGTGTATCTCTGAATATAAGCACAAGCTCACACACACACACACACACACACACACATATATATATATATACATATAGATATATATATATATATATATCGTGGATAGTGAATTAGTGTCCGACCGCTTCTATTAGTTTATGTTTGATTTCCTTACCGGTTATGACTTCCCTGGTGATTCATGAGTCCAGCGAGTGACTTATATTTTAAGTCAAACATTTTCCAAGCAAGCTTATCCATATCTGCCAATCATTATATATATATATATATATATATATATATATATATATATATATATATATATATATATATATATATATCTTTCCGCTTTATCTCGTATCCAAGAATTTAATTTCGTCCTTGCTGGTCGCTTCCTTTATGCTGATGACATTGGTGACTATGTAGAGCAATTCTTACTTGAAATAGTCGATGGTATTGACGTCTTGTTAGTGGAGGACGAGGTTGATTTTGACATTATTGGAAAACTGCACATGACCTGCTTCACGATAATGGTAGATGAGGGTTTAAGAGAAATAACAAAAAAGTATGATCGGAATAATAATAATAATAATAATAATAATTGTAATCTGCTCGTACAAAACCACTGATGTCGACAAAATCCGTACCAATCAGTGTTTATGTAGTTCAGGGTTAAAAGCTAAAACCCAAGGTTTTATTCTTGCTTCAGAGAACCAATGCATGCTAACTAAAAATTACCAAGCACACATACTGAAAAATTGTGTTAGCCCAAAATCAGATTCTGTGATAAATACCCGGAAATAATTGGCCATATTGTATCAGGTTACACAGTATTGGCACCCACTACATATAAAACCCGGCATGACAGAGTGGGCCAATATCTGCACTGAAAAATAAGCGACTTTAATGGAAAGAAAACAGTAAGAAATTGTTATGAACACCACTCAGACCCGGTTACAGACATAGGACTTGTAACAGTTTTATGGGACTTTATAAAACACACAGACAGAACAATCAGAACTAATTGCCAGACATCAAAAGGACCACAAAAACAAAATGTGCTTTTTTATTGACATAGCAGTCCCTGCAGACGGCAATGTATATTTTATGATTTAAAAAAAAAACTATCAAAATATAAGGATCTTTAAGTGGAAATCTCCAAAATGTGGCACATGAAAACATCAATAATTCCTGTTGTCTTTGAAGGCCTTGGTTTGGTTGGAAAAGGTTCTGATACACTCATTAAAGGGATTCCTAGTAACCCATGCATTAAAGATATGTAAAGAAATTGTGCTCACAAGTACATTACATTACGAAAGGATTTATCTATGTAAAAAGTGTGATCTTATTGTTTTTGTTTTGTTTTCTTCACATGTGCCACCCTCAGAGTGGTTATACGGAGATTGAAACAAAGATATTCCACCATCAAGAATGATATATTTTATGTTGACATAGAAGATTGCTATGCGATGATAAGGGTTGCGGAATAGTAGACGCAAGTCATAAGTTCAAAATGCGATTCTATAACGTCATACCACGCGAGAGACCGAAATATTACGATAGAATTATATGTCTAGATGCAATGTAATGCGTTGTGACTAGTTTGAAATGTAATTTTGTTGAATGTGGGTTGCTTTGTAGATGGCCTCCAATATCTGAAGGTTCTTTTGTTACGGTTTTTTGTGTATATATGTACATAACTAGTGAGCGAGTCAAAATGACTTAATTCCCTTTATAGTCTACCAATAGAAGGTTGACCAATCAGAAGCCGCACAACACTGTATCCGTCGTGTATAAAGGCAGCCATCTTTGTTTTCCTACCGGAATGACCAGAGGCAACTTGTCCGGCGAACATGACAGACGGAAGTACTACGCTCTGCTACTTGCTGCGATATCCACTGCGAACCTGCACTACGCTTTCCTACTGTCTCCGAAATATTCACTGCCAACCTCTGGATTCTATACTCGAAGACGACCGTCATGAAAATGTCTAACACTTTTTACTGTGTGTATGTGTGAGTATTATTGTGTTATCGACTAGTATCTGTCTAACCTTATGTACTATGTTTTTTTTATAAAAATGTTGCTTAATAGAATTAAGAACAGAAAGGTGACAGGTAATCGACGGGGGAGCGTGGTTGTAGTAAAACCAGTATATGTAGGGGGTTTATTATTAGTATCAGAGATACAATTTCTGAACAGGCATGTAAATGAATACACTACATTGTTTTTTTATAGAGGATTTAGTTGTTGTTGTAGGGTTATTAGAGACAATGAGGTCAGTTATTTTAAATTTTTATATGATGAGCTTAACGTTTTATTATTAATGGGTTTAACATTTTTATCTGTTATGCTTTT